TTTTTTCTCTTATTTATTCAAAAATTCGATTAACATGCACCAATATCTTAACATAAAAGGATTAATGAAATTTAAAAATAAAAAAAAAAATGTCCCTGCAAGTGTTTCCATGATGTAGAATCGGGATTCAGAGGACTTTCAGCATAAAACCAAAGCGAATGGTTTAACGGAATTTTGACTGAAAGCTCACCATAATTACAAAGCACCAGGACCGACCTGGAAAACCATACCACAAAAAGGAAATTTACCAAAACAAAATTCCATGTTTCCAACAGCGAGAGCACTTCCATCTTCACGCTCAGAAATTGAGGGAACAAATATACAACATTGCACCTCACCATTTTTTCTCGTGCTGTTGATGCTGTTGCAAATATTGTGAATGTCCTCTGAATCGGAAGCAGAGGTATAACTGGATCAACCAGCATACTCATTACTTGCCCACAAAGGTATGTGAAACACCGCAGCACCATGATACAGCTCCTCCCCCAGTGAACAAAGTTTGTAGATATTTTTACCTGAATACAATTAACCAAAACAGATCTGTCTGATAGGGCAGTGTCAAGGCACTGCCTTGGAAATGTGAAACACGTACTAATTTGATTTTCACCATGACCCTTCGCAATGCAACCAATAAAGATATAAAGCTCTAAAGAGAACACAACGCATGCAATCAAATTTTCAGAAGCCACTGCTTGAAGATGGACTGCCTGATCTAAGAGTATTTGTGGGTCCATTACTGGTTTTGCTGATTACCCCCTTCCCGAAATACTCGGCAATTACAGCAAACCCATCCTTAGAACTCTTTATTTGCTGGAAAAATCGATCTTGATCTTTGGAATTCTGCTCTAAGCTTCTTTTCATTTCCAGAACAGACCTGTACTCAGGAGCACACTCAGGGCATTCTTTTTCATTATCACCAAGACAACGTTGATGGAATGAATGCATGCACATAAAGTGGACAGCAGGAAGGTCAAGGGTGAATGTGCAAGCAGTGCACTTGCTGAGCTGAAAAATTCTGGCATTTGTCTGAAGGTCTTGAATTTCTTTCCTCATTGACAATGTATCTTCCTGCAAAGTTGGAACATTGGTTCAAAGAACTCGTTTTTACTCACAAGTAAAAAAATCTAACATTACCCATTTATGTGGGTTTATGTTTTTAATAATCCAAACGTATTTCTTTAAACATTCATCGCTCATGCCATCCCAACTTGAGAACTACATTTAGAATATATATATATATATATGAGCAAGAATGTTGTTTATTCATCCCATACCCAAATAGGCAGAACTTTAAATTCATTTTTTGACCATTAGAAATTCAATTTAGATACAGCATTCTACACAGAATTCAAATATCTCCGGCAGTCATGCTAGGTCAAGAGCAAAGTGCAATGAATATTCACTTCTTCAAGATTTTTCAATTGCGTTTTGAGCACCCTATTAACTAAGAAAATGCCAAATGGTCAATTTATTGAAGCCTTTTCCTTCTTGAAGGGGGGAAAAAAGGCAGTGGTTACAAAAGAAAAAAAAAAAAAAAAGTTAACCAAGTGCAAGGATCAAGAACAGCCTATCAGCTCTATATTTTCCATAACCCACAAGAAAAAGATTTTTTTAATATTAATGATGCCTCTCTAGCAGTGTCAACTCTACCAATGACCTATGTTTGATTAATTGCACTTCATTCACCTGGCTTTGGTTAAATGACAGGATCTGGGTATGAAAATGAAATATTCATTGAAAACTAAAATAAATAGTGTACCTGATATTTCTCTATGGCACGCCTATCTTCTTCAATTAACTTTGATTCCTGTTCAAGCTTCCGAGCAATATAATCTTTTATAACAGCTAGCGTGAGGCATGGGTTTCTAGAGAGTGTTTGCAGAACAATAATTGGAGGCAAGATATCATCCCTTTCAATATACGTCAAGACTTCTTTAACTTCTTTTGAACAATCTTCTCCAAGTTCGCCAAAATACTTCAGCAGATCAGCCCATAGAGATGGATCTCCTCCCTTACCTGAATCCCCCAACCTTTTGCAGCATGCAATCAATCCCTCATGGTCATGGGTCTGCATGTAGCAAGCAATCACCTCTTTATAAAGTTTCATCTTCTCATACAAATACAATAGACCTTCTTTAAATGAGTTCATCTCACAAAGAATTATTGCAAGATCAACATCATAAAGAGGTTGTTCCAGGTCAGAAGGCCATGCACTCTTAAGCAATTGTAGCCCCTTCTCACGCCTTGCAAGACGCTCCTTTTCCTTATCTGAATCTTTAGGATCAGAACTTGACTTTTCGTTGGACATTGTTCCTGACTTCACAGGAGGTGATATCTCTCTAACATTGAGATATATGCCATTGCTAGCTTGTGACACTGATGGGAAGTTCAAGTCATTTGACAAGTACAGCTCCAAAAGAGTGTTATGAATTTCAACTTGAGCAGGTGAGTCTCTGACCTTGTTGGTATATTTTTCTAGAAAATCCATAAGGGATTGAGGGTGGTGGACAAAAATGTTCAGAAAATCAACAGGAGATGGCAACATAGATAAATACGTGCCATTTGACAATCCTCTTCGGGAGGATTCTCCATCCTCAGTACAGAGCCTCAAGAGTATATCAATTGTCTCTGCTGGCTTGTGCTCTATAAGAATCTTACCGTACTCTTTCACTGTTACCCCAGCTTGACTAGGTTCAAGGCTTGAAATATAATACAGAGCCTCATCATAACTACCAAGGTCTTCAAGTAAAATTTTTAAGTACCACTCATGCTTCCTTGCTTTCTTGGCAACATACATTGCATGTTCGTGGTAATTGGCTGCACGGCAGACCCTTATAGCAGTTTCCACATCAAACTTGTGTTCCCCAACACCATCTTCACTCTTAATGAAAACATTCAACTTTTCAACATCCTTCAGCTTTGTATAGCAGTTCAACAACAAAGTAGTATGATCTTTAGATGCGAGTCCCTTCTCATGTAACTTCTCCAAGTAATTTGTAAGGTTGTAGATTCTTTGTGCATCCAGAAACTTCTGTATGACATATGAAGGCTCAAGGTGACCTATGGTGTGAATGTATTGGGCCATAGCCTCATCATAGTCTTGTTTGCTATATAGATGATCCCCATACTTCCTTAGGACCTCTGCAGTTGCTGCTGCATCAGCTTGCTGGCTTTGTACAAGATTGATAGCCACAGTATAGAGGTTTTTCTTGAAAAGCATATCTAACTTACTTTCCATATCCTTCTCAGCAATACACAGAGCAGATTTATCAGGCATGATTAGTATTATGTTACCCCATTCACACAGCATATGTGAAATCTCTTTGACCACTAAACTGTGGGCTATCAATCGATTCTTAAGGTCATATACGTTAAAAATGTCCTTGTTGGTTCTATGGTCTGAAATAACACATAGAAGGTAGCCACGGAACCAACCCAAGAATTTCTTCTCTCCCTCAAAAGCCCAGCACGGACCACGTCCATCAATTTCATAAAAGTAAACAGCCTCAGGTCGACCAATTATCAATTCCTGAATGCAAGGCAACACACAAACAGTAAGCTCTCTTAGAAGATCTGGAAAGCAGATTAGTCAAGGCAGCATAAAAAGTCACAATGAAAGACACTAGTTCCACATACCGAGCGATCACTCATTGTAACACCATTGACATTACATCCTATCTGATCAAGAGTCTGCCTCCTGGGGGATTGATCCCGCATGCTGAACAAGCTCACTGAATCTGGACTTACTGCAAACAATTGAAGTGCTGGTCCATCCAATCTAAAACCTAGACCTGTGATAGCTAAATGGCCTCTGTTTGAAGAATTATCAACCTGAAGCTTGAAACGGGTGATACGCTCACGTGCAATGTCTCCTTTAATGCAGTAAATGCAACCATTATCTAATCCAATGGCAATGAGTAGTATTGGTGGAGCTTCCTCTAAAACCAAGAATGAAGTAATCTGCAAAAATTATGATGTAATGATACCCCCAAAATAAGTCAGAAAAAAAGGGCAAACTCATGATTCCACTGTTAACAAAAAAAGAAAAAGAAAAAGAAAAAGAAAAATAGCAGCATGCACTAGTACTGAGTGACTAACTAATTTAGCGTGCATTTTCTTGACATTGTCAATAAAGAGAATGAACAATGATACAAGATGAGGTAATTGTGCTCATGGACAGAAATATCATACCTTTGCTTGAGGAAACTGATTGGTAAATATCCTCAAAATTCCTATACAATCAGGGGTTATCATGCTTGTGCCCTCAGGCTCCATTTTATCAAGGTCAAAGACCTTCAAACACATTGCAGATTGCTGCGGTGATATCTGCTCATCCTCCCCAACTGTCACAAGGAAGTTGCGTTGCTGATATTTCAATGAAAAAGAAAAATTGCTGTCAGTTTCCATCAATGATCTAGCTTCAATAGTCACTTAGATAGTGAGAGCACATCTCCTAGGCCAGGTTGATAACCAGTGTATCCCTAATATCTGGTGTATCACTCAATATTCAACAGCCTAGCAGGAACAGAATACAAATCCAACCAAATGAATGTTATCATAGGCAGAACGCAAAAAAAAATCTGAAGCTCGAAGGAAGTAATGCCCTAATTTTTCTAACAACACCAAACTCTAATTGAATTCAAATTGCTTTTTTTTTACACATTCCGTTCGATTCCTAAATTTTCTTGGATTCAATAAAAATTGAACAAAGAGAAAGTAACCTTGAGCTGCTGGAGAAAGAGGACGGAGGAGGAGTGAGCTTGAAAACCGAAGTTGAACTGAAGGCCTCGATCGAGGAGGCTGACGGTGCCGTCATCACAGCCGACGACGACCTTTCCTCTTCCACTGGAACAGCACTGTATCTTCCCGCTTACTTCCTCCGGAATCTTGCTCTTCCCTCCATACTTCTCCTCGAAAAATTCGAATTTCCTCCATTGGTACATCTTGCCTTCTCAGAAGAGAAGGATGAATCACACCCAACTATTCCGACGAGAGTCACTGGGATCGCGCGGTGGCGTCTCCGATGAGGAAATGGATCGGCAATTTGGAAGGCGAAAGATTTTTTCCAACGAGAAGGGTACAAATGGAATCTACTCTGCACAGTTCAAGAATTGATAATTCCAGAAGGAACGAACGAACGAACAAATCAACAAACAATAGTGCGTTTAATAACTCCCAGGCCCTCCTGCACCGGCGTCGTTTTGCTAAGGCCTTAAGTGGGCTGTCTTCGATTTTGGACCTCTTTCGCCATGTAGCCTGTATTATTTGTCCAGCCAACATTTTGGGCCTTTGTTTTGAAACCATTAAAAAAAACAGAGTTTACAAAAAAATATATTAGGTAATTCGGATTACACAATAGTTATGATTAAATAAGAATAAATCCTTTAATATTCATGGCTGCCCTCATTTAATGGTATTTATTTTATAATTTAATGTAATTTAAATTATAAAGTAAAAAATTTTAAAAGTTAAATATTATATATAAAAAGAATAAACTTGTCAATATTAAATATAAAAGTTTATAATTGTGTAACTAACTTTATAACTTGATTGTCAACGATTTAAATAACTCAGTGATTATCTCTTTCCGTTGGAAATAAGAGGTCATGAATTCGAGTCTCATGACATGCGGGTATGGCTCAATAAGAGATGGGTGATGGTTGCCTCCATTGTACAACTAAAATAAAATAAAATAAAAAAAAACTTTATAACTTGATTTGTTTAACCAACTTATTTACTTGAATTGATTGTGACGGTCACAATATATGCATTATATTACTGTACAATTTCTTATGGATCACATACTATCACATATGTTGAGTTTATATTTTATACAATTTTATTTTTTAAAATTAATTAATAATAGGTGGAATAATTCAAATTTTATTATCGATAAGTCCATAAGTTCCCTTTCTAACTGATGAATGTAGAACTTTCCCATTTTAACTATTCATTCATCTTGGTAAAAAAAAAAAAAAAAGATCATTCATCAAATGAAGAACAAGAAAAAGGAAAAGGGAAAAAACACTAAAACAGCATAAAAGTGCTTACTTGACTTTACTCTATTTGATAATTTTAGTTTTCCGGTTCAAAGCTGTGCAAAATACAAAATCACCAATTGAAAATTTATAAATTAACTAATATTTATGATGGCAAGGAATAGCTACTACTGCTGTCAATAGCTTTAAATAAGTGATAATCTCT